AGAACAAACTCACTTTAAATCAGATAAATTACATTAAGTCATATTAAATCTTCATGAATCATCCTAAATCATCTTAAATCATCATGAATCATCCTAAATCATCTTAAATCATCATGGATCATCCTAAATCATCTTAAATCATCTTAAATCGTCTTAGATCACTTTGGATCACGTAGATCGCCTTAACTCACCTTAACTCACAAAATCATAAATCAGTTGTTTCCCCCTTGGGCCACTCACAGTGTTAATTAGAATTTTTTTTTCTGTGTACTAAAAATAGTCTGTAATAACTGATTGATGGAGAAGAAAGACGAAGAGAAAATGAGTCACCCCTATGTTTCATATTTACATATGACATTGCTAACCGAATAATTGCAACCATATTAATGCGTCAATATATTGTAAATATAGAATATATAATTAGGAAGAAGGATTTTACAATATTAAAACAAATACGTCGTTTACAGGAATCAGCAACCATGTCGCTTGTTGGAAGTAACCACTCAAGCAGATTTAATTGATTTTTAGCATGACCAAGCAGGTAGAAAATGCGCCAAAACTAGATGCATGACGACAACTATTCGGATACTCAAAGGAAAGGTACATATAACGCTGATGCATAATTGGTTTTTTCCCCTTTCTCTTCTATTGAAGAGAATCACGGCATATTTTTTCTCATCAGAAGAAGTAGAAGATAATATTGAACACTGCAGATGAAATGCAGTGTTTCCGAATTTTTTGCCAGATTTCTGATACTTTCTATTTCACTCATATCTGGTTATCCAAAAAGTCCGTGAAATACATGTACTATAAAACCGCAAGATAACAACTACTGTATTTATTTAATGTACTGACCTTCACCAACAGTCACACGCTGCCAAGGATCATGCAGACTCTGTATACCCATAGAAAAGAAAATCCGAATCAAGAATACTCAAGTATCAAAAATACAGCAGTTGTTATCCTGTCGTTTCATAATACATTTCACCACTAGTTTTAGTTAGAAAGCTGAAACTTCCAGAAATAAAAGATCTCGATTAGATATGTATCAGTGGCGTATCCAGGATTTTTAGACTAATGGGCAAACTTCTCTTATGCTAGAAAAAATTGATGGGCGAAATGGGCAAGATTTTCATTGATGGGTCAAAAGTTTTTTGACCAATCAGGTACTGATAACGGAAAAAAAACACAAAAAAAATGAATCGAGGTTCTTCTAATGAAATATGCATAAAAGTCAGATCTTAAGCAAGCTCCACCAAAAAAGTCAATTTTTGTTAAAAACATGAAAATTGAGATAAGTGTGTGAGAAGTTAGCTGGAAGTCTGCCCTTTTAAAAGAGATATAGCTTTTTATTTCGTGCATCGTTTTTAGCGAAATTTTTGATGTGGGTGTGGGTGTGAGTGTGGGTGTGAATATACTGAATATGAACAACCACATCCCCCTCGCACACCCACACCCACACTCACACCCACACCCACACCCACACTCACACCCACACCCACACCCACACTCACACCCACACCCACACTCACACCCACACCCACACCCACACTCACACCCACACCCACACCCACACCCTCTATGACTACTACAGGCGGTTTGGGCATATGGACATTATTTTGAAACGAGGAGAATGAAGGTGTGAATGGGAGTGTGAATCTTCTTCTCACCTATACCTACACTCTCTTTATCGAAAAATAAGAAAAATTAAATTGTAACGTTACTTATAGATGGCGAAAGTCAGAACATAATCGCAAAGAAAGTTCAATTGGTCACAAAATTACCTGAAAATGTTTCCAGAAAAATTAAGACACGTCTATTAATAAAAAAATACCAGGGAACACGGCTCATAATGTTTTTTCACAGGAAAAAATGACCGTTGGCTATTGCAATTTTGTAAGAAAGTTCATCGTTCACTGTTGAGTAATGAGTACAAAAATTATTCTGTCCAACGAAAAACCGCTTCATAGTGCCGTGCAAAAGAAAAACGTTTCTAGTAGAGCGACAAGGCTCATTTTGAACTCTCTCATTACAATTAATAAATATCAGTTCGATCAACAATGAGCGAAAGTAAAAACCATTTAGTTACATTCAACGAATTCACAATGGTGATGTTTGTGGTAGTATTAGTGTATCGATTTGCATGACCAATGTGAAAGTTGATGCTTTCGTCTTCTACGAAAGTCTGTTATACAATTCAGCTTATATTTAGATAATTTGTAATATACTATCCTTATTTTGTTCAAAATCCAGTCGACTTGCAACGTGATAACTAGCTGTTCATGTAAGAGAAAAATTCAACGTCTCTCTTATGAATCGATAATTGGCATCATCTGATTTCAATCCTATGGACAACTTATGGGATATGATGAATGATCGTCTAAACTCCATGTGATCCAAGGACTTAACAGAGCTCAGAAACGTACGGCTCAAATATGAATCGACTTATGTTTGAAGACATGAAAAACGCTAATTGCATGTGCGTATGATTGAAGATCAGATCTTCATCCACACTCGCACACAATCAGACTCCGGCTGAGTCTTTATATCTTAGTCAATAGCATGACACACGTCAACAACATTTATTCTGCATTTATCTGTATTTATTATTTGTACAAAGCACACTATCTATACTTTAAATTATTTTCACTTCATTAATTGCTGAAAAGTAAGAGTTGGGACTAATAGATTCAACTTACCTTTCTTCAAGAGATAGGTTGATTTGTTTTTCAACTGATTTACCTATGAAATTTCTTTTTGTAATATTTTTATTAAAAGTGATTGATACATATGAGATAAAAAAGTGTTAAGAACCTACAATTAGTTATTGGTAACATTTATTTGAGACTTGTAATCAGTCAGATTGTATTCTGAACAATCGGTTCAAAAGGAACTAAAGTACATACATAAAAATATCCTGTGTTCAACAAAAAATAAAACTCTATGTTGAATGAAAAATTTTCATTTTGAAAATAGTTTTCAGATTTCCTTTACTTTAAATTGCTTATTCTGTATATAGTTTGATGGATTCTTTAAGTAATATCTTATGGTAAAAGATCTGTCAAAAATATCAAGTTTTATTCAATTAAACACTAAATTGATAAACAATGGAGAAAAATAACTTACAACAATCATGAAAAATGATTAATAAAATTATTAAATGACTTGGTGAAATAATTAAATATTCTAGAAAATAAAACCATGACAGATAATGATATTTTTGTTTAATGAACTTAATATTTGAATTAGTAAAATATAGTGCATTTCTTTTTTTTCTAAGAAAATGATACTGATCGATTTCAAAAACCTGAACATAATATTCTTCTATTTATAATACTACTATTTTTATAAGAGAAGATATCATCTAATATTACATCATTTGCAACATTGATATGAGCATTCAAGCTTCATGTAAATAGATTCAGTTAAAGATTATTTCCTATGTGCATATCAATGAATATTTTTCAAGATTCATGATAAAAAGCTGACATACATTTATATTGAAGACATGAAACCTTTCTTTTGTATATTTGTTTATTCCATTTTCTACTGAATACAGTTGAACACCTCTCAAGTTGCATTACTCACGATGAGTACTCGATTAATTGATGAATATGAGAAACAAACTTGAAGTTAGTGAATTGAAGTAAGGAAATGCATGACAAAAAGAAAGAATGAACAAATAAGAAACGAATCTAGAGTTTTCCAGACACAGAAGGTTGAAGATGACACATTTTGTTATCTTTTGCTTTTAGAAGACATTCATACCATGCCATTTTTGTTGGTCCAAATCTTCCCCATGACCATGATTGAACAACTTTATATGATTTGTTATTATTATCTGTCCATCTTGTATTCGACATATGTAATCAAATAATGTCCGAGTGTAGTAAATTCAATAAAATTTTGAACCGATCTTACAACGGCAAGCATCGGCTTGTTATGACGTCTTTCAATAAGACGTATTGTATTTTCGTATAAATCACGAGGGTAAACGAATGGAAAACCTGTCATAGTCTCGTAAGGAACTGGTTCCAATAATAATTTTTCTGCAGGTTTTTGCCAAACCCGAGAGTTCATCTCAATTTTGTTAAATCTAATGCGATTAACGTATACTCTATTTTGTTCATCCAGCAAATCCAATCGAGTAATAGGTTCTTTAAACATAGTATCAGAGTCCATATGAATAAAAAAATCAGCATCACTGTATTGATAAGCATGAAACTTTGTATACATTTGAGAATAATAACTACCATTATTCGGACCATTCTTAATATAAACATCATTTGTTGGTATTAGTTTTATAGACAAAGAAAAGAACGGTAGATATCATTGAAAATATGCTGTTTCAGCGGATGAAAACATAATAACTACATCACAATATAATGTACGTGGTACATATTTGTCAATCGAACGTAGAAGAAATATGAGCCAATGACCATCACCACGCCAAGTGCGAACAAAAAAGTCCAATATAGGAGGATTGCGAGGAGACCATTTTATTTGTAATGTATCTTTAACATTATTTATGGCTTCAACATTTATAATAGAAGTAGTCGGCATCACTACAAACACTGGTACATTAGATTTTACATGTTTCGTCACTAATATATAAACAATGCATAATAGGGTAATAGTGAAGCACACAGCTATTAATCTCATATTGATGAAGTATATCATAGCAAATAAGAAACAAGAAGTTAACAAAAACCACGTATAAAGAGTCGAGGATCTGATGAGATAAATGTTCACAAGATAACTAAGAAATTTCTAGAAATGAAGCGTAGCTCTTGCTCAAAAAATATGCTGCAGGCATCGTACAAAAAAAATGTTCAGACTTCTGATAATTACTACTCATAAATATACCACACTTAAGATCAGATCAATATATCTATCGATCTAAATATCTATTTTCATGTTCAAGTTGCATAAGTACAAAAAAAAACATGACTTTTTAACGACCAGAAAAAAGAAAACAAGCCTAAAAAGATGAATCATTACGGTTTATAAGCCGAAAGGTTCATCATTACAGGATTTTATGACTCTTAAAAGAAGGTTACTTATTCTACGGCTCTTTCAAAGGGCCATATTACTCCATTTTCAATGAAACCGTCTCTTTTCAGTTTCATAAAAGTATTCTTATCATTTTTTATGCATGCTTTTTATTCACTGGATGATATAGTTTTTAAGCATTGGAAAATCTTCCTGGAAAGTTAGAGTAATATCTGTTTGGAAGTGATTAAGTGTAGAAAAAATCATTTTTGGGGAATCTAAGGTAGAGTATTGGGTGCTCATACATAGTAGAAAAGCTTTAAGTCTAATTTCTACGGCGGTCAAACGCAAAAGACTGATGAAACTACCTCCATTTTCGTAGAGAAACTTCGCAACGGGCGCGTAATCCGGAGTATTCGAAAATCTTCTAAACCATCATAAGTATCGAAGTATAT